TTTTTTTTTTTTTTTTTTTTTTTAATGTCGTAGTATAATAAGCATCTTTCACTATTTTGTCAGCTGGAGTCCCTTTTCTTTAGGTCTCTTTTTTTAAATTCCTTAATTCCCTACTTTTTTAATTCCTTAATAATTTAGTAGTTCAAGTATGAACTTTTTCGGTGCACTTTGTTGTTTGCTTTTAACTTTCTGGAGGCATTTCTAGCAAATGCCAGCGTTAGGTATATGTAGCTCCATTTCATAATCCTTTTAACCTGACCCAGCTCTGAGTCTTTGCTGGGTTTAAGTGCTTGTAAAATTTTGTTTACTATTATGAACATTTTCAAACATACTTGGATACTTTCATGCAGGTATGAACATGCATATTTCCATCACTTAGAAATTAATAGTTGTCAACGTTTGGACGTGTTTGTGCACATCTGTGTCAGTTTTTTTTTTTAATCTGAAACATTTATAAAGAAATTTTTATTGATATTTACAAACATATACAGAATTATAAAGAATAGTGTAGTAAGCCCATCTCTATTTTACAGCTTCTGCATTTACCACTTTATGGCCCATCCTGTTTTATCGGTTCCTCCCATTCTGATATCACTTGATTATTTAAAGCAAGTCCTATACAGCAAATGATTTCATTTGTCAATAATTTAGTATGTATCTCTAAAAGATAAATTCTTATCACACCTTAAAAAATGAATAACAGCTTTGATATCATCGAATATAGTCAGTATTCTAATTCCCTGACTATCTTTTAAATTATTAAGTTGGCTTTTACTTAAGCCCCAAGCGGGGCCCACACATTGCGCTTGCTGCTGTGTCTCTTAAGTCTCTTCATCTGTAACAATTCCCCCTTGCTCTTTTTGTTTTCTTGGCGTTTGTTTATTAAAGAAAAAGGTTGCTTGTCCTGCAGAATTTTCTATATTCCAGGATTGGCTGATTGTACTCCTGTGACATTTGTTAAGTATTTCACTGTCCCCTGCATTTCCTGTAAATTGGTAGATCTAAAAGCTTGATTTGATTCAGATCCATGTTTTTGGCAAAAACGTTCATCGGTGTTGCCGTGCGCTTCATGTTGGTTGGTCTCCCTTCTCTGGTTTTCAGATTGTCAGTGGGCTCGTAATTATAAATTCTCATTTCACACCCATTGTTTTAATCAGTTGTTGCAAAATAGTTATTTCTGATTCTGTTATTCCTTCTTGGAACTCTTCTGTTTGGTTACCTTAAAATACAACTCATGTAGGACAACAAGATAAAAAGCTTGATTCTTTGCCTGGACTCACCAGTTTTCAAAGCACTGAGCTGATGCCCTAGCAACCTCCCAAAGTAGTGTATTTTTATTTTTGGTATCATTACAAGCGAATGGATTTTAACGTATTTTACCCGTCTTACTATGTGGCAGTCATTATTCTTTTTGAAGCTCAGATTGTCCTGTCTTTGGCCAGTGAGAGCCCCTGCTGTTGGCTCCTGTGCCCTTTGGGCATCCCCAGTCGTCTTTGGTAGCTTCTTTCGGTTATGAAGAATATTCCAGGCTCATCTTGTTCACTTCCTGCCCAAGACCTGGAATCGGCCATTTCACCAAAAAGCCCTGGTTTATTCTGATGGGAAATGATATTTAGAGACCACTAATCTGGGCACTAAGAGTGCTCACTGCTGTGTGTTGTCAGTTCTTTTAGTTATTTTTAGAGGACAAAGCTAAGGAATATGATTTTTTTTTTTTTAAAAGAGAAAACGAAACAGGAGTTCATAATGATATTTGTAATCTTTGATTTTTTTTCTTTGTATCCTACTTACACTGAAAATCTTGATTCTTGATGATAGTAACACAATTATTTATTTGCTTTACACTGTGTGTGTGTGTGTGTGTGTGTATGTATACACACGCACAGATAAAATCCCTGGGTGGTGTAAGCAGTTAACATGCTTGGCTGCTAACCAATAGATTAGTGGTTCTAGTCAATGCAGAGGTGCCTCTGAAGAAAAGCCTAACAATCTCCTTCTGAAAAATCAGCCATTGAAAACCCTACGGAGCAGAGTTTTACTCTGACACACATGCTGTCGCCATGACTCAGAGTTGGCTTAACAGCAAGTGGTGTGTATACACACACACTCACACAGACGCACCAGGATAGGACAAAGCAAAAACGCAATTTTGTTAATGTTTCAAAATAACAATACCAATACTATTACTAGCGATATGGTTACTGAACGCAGTTTAAAGGTTTTTTTTGCAGTTCTTTTTGTCCTTAGGGTGTACAGTCAGAATATTGGGTTTTAAAGTCATTTAAAATAATCCTTTTCTGTGCCATTAACATGCCAGCCTGGCCTACAATTAAGTTCATTCATTTCATTTTGATTTTTAGATATATTAAATTTTTTATTTAATTTTTTTTAATTGTATAAAACATTTATGTGACTCCAAAGTCAAAACTGTAGAACAAGGTACACGGAAGCAATTCAAGGTAAATATAGACTTGATGGCATTTTACTCGTAAATATTTCTGTATGAATCTCTAACAATAAAAACGTTTTCTTACTTAACCATAGTACCGTTATCATAACTAAACAATTTATAATAATCCTTTAACACCATCTAAGAATAAGCAGTCCATATTCACATTTCTCTAGTTGTTGCAAACATGTCCTTTACTGCTGGTTTATTCAAATCCAGAACCACCAGTTGCATTTTTGTCTTTTAAATCTTTTCTATCCCATCACGGTTCCCCAAGTCCACCTGTATTTTTTTCTGTGACATTGAGACCACACGGTTTTCCTGTAGACTCTCCCACTTCATTGATTTGTCTGGCTGCATCCTCCTGGTCTCATTACACTTGTTCCTTCAACTGTGTTTCCTGTAAATTGGAAGTTAGACCTGAATACCTGATTGTATGCAGGTTCTACCCCTTTGGCTAGGAGTACTTGAGTGACGATGAGTTTGGTTGCTTAACAGGAAACACTCTATTCAATCCCAACTGGAGGTCAGTGGCCAACAGAGGGGCAAGAAGGGTCTTTAGGTGCAATTAAAGGAGACTAGCCCAGCGCAGGTTTTCCAGTAGAGTCTCTTCCCCTTTCTCCTTCCTCACTTTTCCCTTCTTGGCCTCTGGAGAGGCCTGACGGAAGTGAATGGTCTTGTTGCGTTAGCTGTCACCAGTCCGGAAGCTGCCACAGTCTCACTGCCCACCTCTCTCCTACTCTCAGATCTCCTTCCATCCATCACTGCAGGGTAGACATGCACCGACACAGGGCATGTGCCCACTTCCAGGATTCTTCCTCCTAGGTGTTTAGGTGGCAAAGACCTCAAGGCCCTCTTCCAGGGATTTCTGCTGCAGCAACTGTACTTTAGCTTAGGATGCGGCAGAGCAGGGAGCTGTGGTCCTGCTTTGAGAAAGTAGAGGTGCAGTCTCTGCCTACCATGGAATGGTTCACTCTCACCAGCCCTGGACCTTAGGCAGCACTCCAACACCTCTCTGTGCCCTGCTTTCTTCATCTGTGAGTGAGCTGATTGGCCAGACAAACTCTGAGGTCTCTCCTGGCTTTGGAACTCTGTCTTCCAAATAAAGCTAAAAGGTAGGAGAGGCCCAGGTTTGCAGCCACTGAAGCCGGAAGAGCTGGATGTCTGCAAGGGGCTGAGTTGAATGGTACTTTCCTGAATGCCCTTGTGACCTACAAAGCAAGCAAGACCCATTTTCCTGGGAGCTGGAAGAGAAGCCTGCTCCCCATGCTAAGGGCTTCTGCCAGGAGGGGAAGTCAGTCTCATAGCTGGAAAGCCCAGATACTTTTAATATCATTTAAGGAAGAAATAAAATATTACTGATGACCTCATCTCCATGCTGTTCTTTCAGATCTCCACCTCCTAATTTCCCTTGTGTGACTTCGTCTGAATGGTTAAATGCACACTCCTTAGGTGGGACAAGGCGGCACAGAAGGGCAGCATTACCAGTTTCTTCCTGTTCTTACTCAAGTTTCTAAAAGGGTGGATCCAGTGACGTGATGGACTGGCAGCTGGACCCTGTTTCTGGACTAGAAATCAGTGTAAGAAATTGAATTTTAAGAGAAAGAAATCAAGGAAGGAGACGAGCTGCTTTCTCAAGCACTGGCTTTGTGTTTGAGCACTGGTCCTGAATTCTGTGGGTCTAGAAACTGGAAACCTTGTGAACAGCTGGAGTTGATCATCCTCAGGCAGACTACCTCTTGCCAACCAGACTCACTAATGAGTGTAAATGGGACCCCAGTTCAGTTCACCGTTTTATAAAGAATTCCACCCGTGGACAGATCAGTTGCTTCTTTCCCCTGGAGCACAGTCCACAAGGGGAGCCAGATTACCATCAGAAGGTCTGGTAGAGGGTTGAATTCAGAGCAAAGGGATGCTCGTATTGGCTAATGTCATCAGGTCGTGGCACTCACCTCCATCCAGAGACGGAGTCACCGTTTCACTAAGGGAGTTTGCCTACTCCTCAGAGGAGTCGTTCTCTTTGGAGGAAACCCCCTGCCCCCGTTCCTGCTGTTTATTTTCCTGTCCCAATGCCACGTAGGTCGACCCCCTTCTATTAACCTTCACTTTCTTTTGCCAGCTCCTGCTATCCGTTAAGTTCTAGTCAGGAATAAACACCCAGGATTGGCCTTGGATGTTTCCTAGGTCTTCCTCAGCAGCCCACCGACAGACCACGTCGGGGAGAGTGGCTTCTCCACGTGCTCATTTCAGCCACCATGCCTTGCCTTCACTAATTTAACTTTCTAGGGATAATTATTTCTAATTCCTGAGTTCCCTTATTGGCTCAGTGGCCATACAGATATCCAGCCCCTCCACTCCCGCCACCCGGCGAGTCTATTTCAACTGATTTACGACGGGCCCAGGGCATCAACACCTTTTCTCAAGCTCCCCAAGCTAGTCTAGGTGAGAGCTAAGGCTAACGCTCCTGAATCCTAATTCCAGGTCACCTCTTGTCTTTAGCACCTTTAGTCAGGCAAGAGACACTGCCTAAGTGTTGCCCTCTGCCGGGCGGTTTCCACGTAGGTGATCAGTTTTAATCCTAATAACTACCCTGGGTGTCCTCAGCATTATTGTTTGAGATTTCATTCAGAATATGCGGCTTAGAGAATTCCACATCTAATAAATGGCAGAGTCTGTATTTGAACTTAGCCTCGTCTGACTTCAAACCCCACGCACTTTATCCGCAATCTACTGGTAAGTGGCGCCTCTCTGTGTCTCAGATTTTCTTCATATTAATAGGGATGTTAATAACTGCTATATACTGTGAGACGGAGTCAGGGCATTCAGTGAGGTTAGAGTTTTCCGGTTCTTGAGCTCCTAAACTGTCTCCTCCTCCAAAACACAGGTGTTGGCTAAACAGAACTCTTTGTGTGTTGGCCACGATGCTCCAGGATGTCCATCCAGGAGGCCGATGATGGTGCTTATCATCCATTAAAGGACAGAGAACCGCCACACAGACCGATTAAAGAACGCTTATGAAGATGCTTTTATACGCCAGGTGGCCACACCAGGCCATTTCTTTATCTTACCTGGCTTGTTATCCCTGGAAATGTGTGAGGGATTTATGGCGGAACATTTCAAAAGAAAGGCCTGGCGAGCTGCTTCTGTAAAGATTACAGCCAAGAAAACCCGATGGAGTAGTTCTACTCTGTAACAAATGCGGTCACCATGAGTCAGAATCGACTTGGTGGCATTGTTTTGCTTTTTTAAATTGATACACGCGTTCTGTCTCTGAAGCCCTCATTAGCCCAGAAAGTCATCAGGTCACCTTTACACACCGTCCATCCCTGCTTTTCACTCCACAGCATGTTCCTTGCAAGCCATGCGGTCTTAAATGTGTACCTTTATCAAAGAGACCCTAGTGTGCTGTAAAACGATGTGTACGTGGCACAAAAAGTGCCAGCGTATTACAAAGTTAGCCTATATGAAATGAACACTAAATTAACCCTTTGTAAACATTAGTGTTGTTCATCTTTTCAGAATATAGGAAAGCTCTTGGGAGATGATGTAAAGGGTCTATTTAAAAAAAAAAAACCCGTTGCCGTCGAGTCGATTCCGACTCATAGCAACCCTATGGGACAGAGCAG